TTTGAGAATGTTAAGTACATTTTGTTTCCTTTTATATGAATCCCAGGGGTAACAGAAAGCACTCATTTACTCAGTTGCCTGATTCAGACTGTAACTTCCATGGAAAAAGCTGGCACCAGGAAAGTGACTTCCCACTTCTTTAGCTTGTACTTGCCAGCATTTAAAAATAGGGTTTCATGGGTCGCACATTGTACAGTCTCAATAAAGAACTTTTCCAACAGGTGTGTAATGGGGATCTGGGCACTTCTCCAGATCTTTCTAATGCAAATCCCCCCCTCCCTCTAAGTGAAGCCTGGGACAGGGGAGACCTTCTGCACTTAGTTCCTAGCCACTAGTGTGATGGACCTTTGCAGTCTTCCTTGGAACAAAAATACCCACTTTTTTAGTTTGTCTGCCAATCCCAAAGTTTAGGTTTCATATTTGTTAAGCAAGTACCATACCATGAGAATATAGTTTATCCATGTCTTATTTTTCAAATGATTTTTCTTCTTTATGAGTGAATCGAATAATATTAACCTTGCGGTTGGAATATATGCATATCTTAATTTTATTCGCATTTAGACTTGTACAGTGGGAGTGAGTAAGCCTCAGGTTATTCTTGAAAGGCAGTCCTAATTATGAACGTTAAAGCACTAACGATATGTTCAGAACAGTCCCTAAGTTCATCATTGACAGATGGTTTAGGATGTGTTTTTGTGTTAAGAGAAGGTTTATTATGCACTTCAGTAGCCTTGGAAGCGCTGAATCCTCTGTATGAGAAAATTGGTGGGTGAAAACGTTTGGATAAGTTCTACAACCCATCTGCACGTCCTGATATCAAGATGGTTAGTCTATAAGTGACAACAATTCAGACCTTAGTGAAGTCAATGTAGCAGGAATTTGTTTGTGCGTGGTATGTAAGGTGATGCTTACAACATAAGAGTACTGATGCATTACATTCGTTAATCTTAAGAGCAGAGTACACTTGTAGGTATAGTGTATAGTATGAAGGTGAAATGAAAATAAAAATTATGAATTTTATCAGGAAAAGTTCTTGAGGAAGCTTATTCCAATACAAGTCATAAATAACCAATCATATTCTTAAAAAGCCCGTTCACAACAGTAACAAAATCATAGTGCACCCTTATTTGCATCACCCCACCCTTCTAAAAATAATGACCATTCCATTCATATGATTGAAGGATTGGTCTAGCAATCTTCTTTTGGGTTTGGTGGTGAAATAAGCATCACTATAGAGTAATTAAAATATGAGCAGTGATTTATTGTTTCATGGGAAACAGAATAGATGAAGCTCCTGCAGTGATGAACAAAGGAATCTAAGGAGAAGTTTAGAAGATTTGGAAACAAAACACATGTCTTGTAATTTTTTTTAGTTTCTTTAGATGTTCTTTTCAGTCCTGAAAATGTTTTACTGTTTGATTATATCTGTTCAAAAGTTGCAGAAATTTTCTTCTTCTAAGACAAGATATCAGGTAAGTATAGCTATATTTATCAAGTATTGAGCATATGCAGTTAACGACAGTAAAATAAAACTGCATATACTAAATGCACAGACCTTCTACAACTCCATAAATCTTTACATTTTGGCTTGAAATACCCAGGTTTGTTGCGAAAGTGCAACCTCGGATAATTTGCTCACACAGAAATGAATCAAGAGTTTTAAGATTTTTTTACACTAGTTGCAGAGTTTTGATATTTTGGGTTATTTCATATTGCTTAGAAAACCAAGTAAGAGTACACAGACTCCTACTAGAAATCAATAACAACACATTGTTACATTACAAGAACATGTTTTTTTTCCATTTGGGAAAATTACAAGGATAATTTTTACATTAAACTTTATGTAATGTACATAGACTCCAATTAGAAATAAAAGATGACACATTGTTACATTAAAAAATATGGTTTGTTCAATTTCAGAAAATTACAAGGAGAATTTTTACATTAAACTTTATGTAATGTATAAAATTAATAATAAGTGATAATGGGATTTTACAAAACACAATCACCTACTACATGAGCTCAAAACACCTTCACTAATGGGAAAATACAATGCATTAATGACTCTTCAATCTTAAAAATAAACATATTGCGAGGTATTTTTAGTACTTATCTCATGCTTCACTACTAGCCAAGTTCAAAGTGTCCTGTACCATAAATTGTTACATTTATCCCACAGTGACATATTTCTCTCTTCACATGCTTTCCATTTATTACTGTTTTATGTCACTCCTTTATGAAAATTATATTTCATGTTAGTAATACTGGGAAACTTTACACAGAAAATACTTTGTTTTATTGAGCAGGACAAGTTTGTGTGTGTGTGTGTGTATATATATATATTGTTACGACAGCGGAAGTCATGTGTGAGGAGTTTCTCGATTGATCGTGAAGTTTTTGGGGGAGTCCTAGTGCATTCAAGACACCCTCTTCTTTAGTATATAAGCCTGGCAGAGAAGCCAGTGAGGAATGTATAGTTAAGCGAACAGTAGTTACGGCTTTTTGAGTAATAATAAAGTGTGTGTTTTATACTCGTAGAGAGTGAAGTTATCGAGATTGTGAATCGCTGTG